TAAAAAGAAATGAAATTTATTTTATTATTATTTATTTATTTTATTATTTCATTATTTATATTTATTTTATTTCTGGTCTAGTTTTTGGGTGGAAAGTGATCCAAAGGGAGTCAAGATGCTTGGATAATTTATTAAAAAATTAGAAAAAAAAAATTTTTTTTATTTTATTATTTATATTTATTTTATTTCCGGTCTAATTTTTGGGTGGACAGTGATCCAAAGGGAGTCAAGATGCTTGGATAATTTTCTCTATGCTGTAGCTATTGTACAGTTTGTGAGGGTCCCTTGTAAGATGCACAGTTACGCAGGTATGTGAAGAACAGTAACTTTATATGTATTATATGATGCGCTCATATAATATACAGAGTATCCAGAAAATTGCTCGCAATATTTCGGGAAGTGATTCAGGTCCCAAAAAGAAAGGAAAAAAGCTACATAAAGGTCCAGAAATGAGTTGTTTCCAAGTTATACCAATTTTTATGTTAAAATAATTGTAAATAAATTATATTAATTGTAATAAATGGTAATAATCATAATAAATTATAATTATAATGATTATGATTATAAAAATAAATTACGATTTATTTACAATTTTTTAACATAAAAGTGGCTATAATTCGGAAATGACTTATTTCCGGACTAATGTTTATATCGGTTTTCTTCCTTTTTGGGTCCCGAATTTCGTAAAGTATTGTGGGCGATTTTCTGGACATCTTGTATATACATACATATACATATGTATATCTATATACATACAGGGTGTCTGTAAAGTCTGACCCAAGTCTAATATCTCGGAAACAGCTTTAGATATAGAAAAATGTTTCAGATAAAAGTTGTAGAATATCAAGGGGGACATATGATACTGCGGCGATATATACTGTAACTTTCAATCTTCATAATTCGGAAAGTACTAATTAAAAAAAGGCTTTATTATAGTATTTTGAAAAGCTCTCGAGCTAAAGTACAAGAATAATAATACAATAAAAAATGGGAGTTCCATTTAAGAAAACTCGGTCACAATGACCTAGCCTTAAGAAGATCACTGAAGGTCAAGATCATATTTTCATCAAATGTTTTTGATATTCTATAACTTTTGTCTGAAACATTTTTCCATATCTAAAGCCGTTTCCGAAATATTAGACCTGTGTCAGTCTTTATAAACACGCGCGCGCGCGCATACACACACCCCATTATGTTTTCACATTTCAATTTTTTCATCTTTTCGAACATTTCTTTACGCATATTAATGAGAGGTTTAGATTAAAAAAGATTTAGAGTGAAAATAACGAATGTAATTAGCGTGAGAGTGTAAATTGTCGTGCGTAACGGACTTGTACATTACGCTAAGTTGGACATGTTCAGAAAAGATGTATCTTGTGAAAACTTCTTAATGTAGTGCCGTATACGCGCATAAAATAGATTTTTTTTTCATTATTAGAAGAGATACTTTTACTTTTATCAAGAAAAACAAAAAATCCAGTATGTAGCTACAATCAGAAAAAAATAGTAAGATATGTATAAGGAATATTTGTATAAATAAAATTAAGTTTTCACTCTTTTAAAGTCGAAATAAATAAATAAGATATTTACATATAATTTCTGTGTATTGCAAACGAAAGTATAAATGAATCCAAATATAAATAAATAATATACAAATTCTCTTTTTTGCGTCTAATTTCTTTCAGCGATTTACTTAAAAATTTTTTACTTGCCTATTTCTTTAGTTTGCAATCTTGTAATATAATTTCTTGCCAAATTTAAAATTTAATAGTACAGATAGAGATTTATAAAATGTACCAGGTAAGTGGTTGCATCTTTGTATTGGTAAGACAAAAGATTTTTCAATTTTATAATTATTAAATTTAATCATGGATTTTATTGGAACTTGTTATCATTTGCGCGCAAATATAAAGACAAGAAATATTCAATTCTCATTTTTTTGTCACGATTTGGGATGCAAATCCAAGATGATTGAGATATCGCAAAAGGAACAAAAGCCAAAATAATGTCTCAATGATTTAAGCTTTAAAATTAATTTGAAATTCTGTACATATATTTCATTGTGCAAAAAATGATATTGGAAATTATCCAAGAATCAATATAGGTATTATTACATTGGAAATTTTAAACACATACAACTTAAATAAAAATTATTCATATGTTATTTATTTGGCGTAATTAAAAACATATATGTATAATTGTAATTTATTTCAATGAAATTATTTCCATATATATTCTCTAGAGATTGTTACACAGATTCCGATCTTTGACAGTTTTAAATAATTTCTTCGATGAAGAGAGAAATTTCTCTCTCACGCGCATAACGTCGTCGCCACCGTGGTTGGACAAATGTAACGCAACGTTACACCTCGCCTCACCATAGGAAAAGCTCTCGCTGTCTTTATGTAAGATATAGATATATGTTAAATCAATGATACCGGGCTTGCGCTGCGTTACACCCCCGTAACGTGGCGTAAGGTCGGGACCGCGCATCTCCCCCTCTTCCCCCACCTCCTATCCCCTTCACGGAACGGCGCTGGGCCTTCTCCACCTTCCGCTGCTTTTATCCCCCGTCCACCCTCGCGCGCTTCGCACCCACCATACCACCATTGCCACCGCCACCACCACCACCCGTCTTTCTCGCGACGTATATTCCCCACTCTTTCGTCCCTTCTAATCCCTCGTACGCTGCCCCCGTGCAAAAGGCTCCAGGCGGAGCGAGCAACCTGGCTGAGCAAGCTTCGACGAGCTTCGGCGAAGCCGATGTCGCGCTGGTCGCCGGCATTGCAACCGGCGTTGCCGCCGTCGTCGCCATGGAGCGCTCCACCTTCGTCGGCCCCTGCCCTTTGTGGGAACAGCGATAGAAGGGGATGGGGTGGCTCATCTCCTTCCTCACTCCCCACCCCCAAATTGCGTACTACCGAATACCACGAGCTAGCTCGTTGATCGTAGACGTAGTAAGGGGTAATGCGCGCGCGTACCACCCTCACGGGGGTGGCGATAGCGGCCAGACAGCGCGGCGGCAGAGATAGCGGCGCGGCGCGACGCCACGCGACGCGACACCATCGCGCCGTTCTTGCGTGATTTTCCGCATCGTGCGCCAGCCGAGACGGCGAGACAGGAGGTCCGTCACGCGGACGGATCCGTTCGGAAAAGCAGTGTCGTCGTCAAAGAGAGCGTGAACCGTTCTTTCTCCCTCTCTTTCTCCGGTCGTTTATTGTCCGCCGCTCGCGTTTCTTTTCCCACCTTTTCTGCTCGCGCGCACTACCCCCGCCGAAGAGTTCCGCTCTTTTTTCAACCACTTTCCCGCCATTTCACCGCGTATTCCTTCTTCCCCCATCCACCCTTCTCTTCCCCTCCTCTCGCCTTCTTTTCCTCGCATCCTCACCGTTTTGTTTCCCATTTTCCAATTCTTTCGGTTTTTCTGCATTCCTACGCGTTACAGCGTGAACCCGTGAATTTAACGCAGAGTCGCGCGACAACGCGGCGATCGGCGGCACTGCGATCCACGGGGACCCGCGGCGATCGACAGTGGTGCGGTAAATAGCGTTGCAGACAAGGGGGGCAATTGCGGCGCGGAGACGCGAGACGAAAAAATTATGTCGTCCTCGTACTGTGCGATAAGATCATGTGGTCGCACTCAGCTCCGAAAAAGGCAGTGACATTTCGAGCGCACGTTCCGGAACGGTACACGCAGCCCGGAACGCCGCCGCCACCGCCGCCACCGCCACCGCCGCCGCCGCCGCCGCCGCCGCCGCCGCCTACTACTACTACTACCTCCTTCCGCCCGCTGTTGAAATGATCGAACTGGCGACCGGATTTGCTCTGACACCCGCGGCGCGGACCGTCACCGTTCGCGAAGTGGCAAACGCGGGGATGAAGGGGTGGTCTCATCGCTGTGCGTGATCCGATTTCGTGACCTTGTACATCACTTGTAGGAGAGAGAAATAGAGAGAGAGAGAGAGAGAGAGAGAGAGAGAGAGAGAGGGAGCGCGCGCGCAAGTGAGCGCGGGTAGCGGGTCCGAGGGTTGGCGAATAGTGGACGCGGCAGTAGATAGATGTGCTCGAGATCGGTTTGCAAGAGGAGCGAGAGGTGGAGGAGATTCGAGATCGGTGATGACCTATGGACGATGCGCGAGGATCGTTAAATCGACGAGTGCCGAACCGGTTCGTCCTTGGTCCCCGGCTCGACCCCGATCGATCGTCAATCACGCGAAATTACCGCGGAGAGACTTCCCACGGGAGACCACGCGCCGAGTACGCGGCGAGGGTGGCAAAGAGGGAGAGAAAGAGGGAGGGAAAGAGGATTTTTGAGAAATAATTGTCTAGAATCGTTGAAATAATGTTCCTGCGCATCGACGACAGGCTGCTACGCTTCGGGCTACTGTTTCTGTTGTGGATAGGCTCGAGTCGTCAACAAGAGGAGGACATACCTCACAATGAGTAAGTGTTGATCGCGTGAGTGCGACGTACCTTGTAAGCGATTAAGTAACGAAAGCATGAAAAACGTCGCAGACCCGTGCATCGTCAGACATCGATGACGCATGAGGAGCCTGAAAGAAGTTGACCGGGTGGGTTTGAAAGGGAGGGAAAGAGGGAGTCTTGGGGGTGGTAAGGGTGGTGGTGGTGCGGTGGATGTGCGAGCGATCGGACGGATGGGGTGCATAAAGCTCGACGAGCAAAACTCGATAGGGAGCAGAAGGAGCGCGAGGGTGAGGGTGAGGAGGTGGACGAGGGCGAGAACGAGCATGCGGTAGTAGGGTGGGGAAATAAAGGAACGTGCGAGAGTGGGAAGGAGGGTGAGAAAAAGAGAGAAAGTGAGAAAGGAAGAAAGAGAGAGAGGGTGAGACGTCGTCAAGGGTGTGAGCGATATGAGAAGAGCGAATATATAGGGTTAAGGATATAAAGACAGGATATAAAGACGAAAAAAGAATGAAAAAAAATATGAATAAAAAAATATAAAATATAAATAGAAAAGTCTAAGAAAAAGATGTATTAGACTTCAATCAGAAAGGAAGGAAGGGTAAAAGAGGAGTGAAATGGAGGGAGAAAGAGAGAGAGAGAGAGAAATTATATAAAGGCCGTGAAAAGAAATGGAAGCGAAAGAACAGAAATAAGGAAATGCGTAACACACACACACACACACACACGCACACACACAAATTGATATTGACTACACATGGAAATGAGAGAGAAGGTGGAAAAGGATTTAAGCATGAAAAAGATCAAAAGATACGATATGATGTGAAATCTTAGAAAAAATTTTAGCAGTTTGATCTTTTAGATACGAAGATAAGCTTTTTAAAATTAGCGACAATTTTTCGAAATTATTAGTTACAAATCGTATAACTGCTTATTGAAATTACACCAGAAATCACAAAAGTCACAAGTGTATTTAAGCTGTATTCCAAAATTCACTGTCAATGTTGAAAATTTATAATGCACGTAAAACACGTAATGTAACGTAAATTGTAGATTTTTAGCGGTGACAGTAAATTTTGGAACACAGCCTTAATCTCTCTCTTTCTCTCTCTTTTTTTCTCTCTCTCTCTCTCCTTTTCTCTCCCTCGCCCTTTCCCTCTTTCTCCCCTCATAATCAATTTCTAAAATAAATTTCATAAGACTGTCTCGCGCAAGGATTTCTTCATATTATAATTTTAATAAATGGAAATATGAAAAAATATTTGCAATCAATTATTTCTATATGACATAAAACAGCTGACATAAAACAATTATGCATTATTATAAGCTAACGCAGCAAGGGACATTTCAATTATTTATTTAATGTATTTTATATTTCTTGTTATTGCATATCTCGTTACCGAACATAACATTTAAAATTAATGTTATCGTTAATTATTACAGAGTGAAAAACTGGGCTTTAAAGTTCGGCGTGGATCTATGGGAGTTTGGTAAACAAGTAACCAAAATGAGCGAGATACAAAGGGTAAAAAATTATATCTAACATATATTTAGCTGTAATTATATAATATATAATAAATATAAATTAACAATAAGATTAATCCATCAATAGAGATATCGTAAATGTCCATGCGTGTAAAAATTCATACTTTAAGAAAAAAATAAATAATAGTTATTTATAAGGTCTTTTTTCCAAATTATACTTTTTTGACATAAAATCTTGTAATTTTGCCACTCACGTACTTATTGATTTTTATTGCTTTACATTTAGAAATATCACGAAGTGGAGGCCAATGTCGTAAAAAGGGATGGTCTCGTTCTCGTTCGGGAAATGGCCTTGGAGGTGAAAAACATGATGGACTTTAAAATGAATGCTGTAATGGTACGTCAACAGATATTCCTTTCTCCACTTTTAGTGCATGATATCGATTTTAAGACTGTCAGATTAGAAAGATATTATGTAATTCAGTTTGGAGTTGTGTTTTAAGACCAACAAACATTTAACGCGAAATTTACCTGAATTGGAAATTGTAAAAAGATTTACACAATTATTATTAAGCACCAAGAATCCGCTTCAGACCACATATGACATTCTAATAATTTACGTAGTTTGAATTTTCGTGGTCTTGATTACATTTTATATTAATATTTAATACAATAAATGTTGAAATCTAAAAATCTGACAAACATAACTTTCTCAATATTTTCAATAGGAATAGGTTTTACCATTTTATAAAAATTTTATATTAACAAATATTTTTGGTTTTTCAAATCGCAGTTATTTGGGTAAACAAATATCAAAAAATTATATTTACAGTTTATAAATATTAACATTTAAAAATACCTCAAGTAATTGTTTAGTATAAAAAACTATTTCCTGTTGAGTTAATTTTAAACTATCTGCTTCCATCGCTAATTGTCTTGATCTAGAATCGTCTCTGTATAGCACGATTCTCCAAGAAATGACGTTCAGAATATGTTCTAAGGACGTTTATAGAACATTCTTCAAATAAAGTATGCTGTATAGATTCGATTGTAATGACCTACTGCAAAATCTCAAAGTTATCCTTTTAAGCATCTGAGAAAAAATCGTTCCAAAAATCGAAAAACTCGCAGATAATTTTAATTCCTTATTTTGAAACAAACTTATCTTAAATCCTTATTTCTGATTCTTACTCACATGTTATGTCAAAATTGGCGTTGGATGCACTTCGTGCAAATAAATTCCGAAATAAATATTGATCAAACAAAATTTTTAAATAAAATAGCTACACTCTTAAGTTTGTTTAAACAATCTATGATTTATAATAAAATTTTCTTTCTAATTTTATTTGTTTTGTAATACAAAAAAACATTTAAAAAATAAAAACGCACTCACGCACGATGTATTACGCATATTTTGAAGTATATGGGTTTATCTACATAACATTACACTACTATTCACTACAATATGATTTTTTACAAGAAAAAGTAACTTATAGTTATTTAACACTGAATACAGTCCTATTTGTCGATATACTACAATTTTAAAGAATCTGTGATTAAAATGACTATTTTAAAAATAGCTATTTTAGTGTATTTTAACATATAACTACAATGTACATATGTAACGTATTGGAGAAGTTTTATTGCAATTCAAATTAAATATATTGTTAGAATTTTCAACTCTTAAAAGGAATTTGTTGATTATAATTAAAAAAATATTTATATTGTTCTGGAACTATTTGTGTTAATTTGCATCAAATTATATATATATATATATATACACTTCTCAACAAAATTAAAGCATCACTTACTCTACCCTCCAAAAATAGGCAAATTTCAAGAGAATGTAACTTCGAAAAAAATGATCGTAACAGAATGATCAAAAA